ATACATTATTTAAGTATTAACAGAATAGATACATTATTTGAAAAACTGATTATCTTGCTTAAAATCCACTAGTTCAAAGACAAACAGCAATGTACAATAATTTCAAAGTTCTTTTGATTATGATTGCCTAGACCAAGGGTTTGTGAATTAACACTTGCCACCCATTTTTGTAAATAAAGTTTTATGAGAACACAACTATGCTCATTATTTTGTATTGTAGTGACCACACACTAAAAAGACTATCAATGGCATGTTAAACATCTTAAACTCATTATAGATACTATGTAACTTATACTTACCATTCCTTGCCTTCTAGAAACTTTTCAGCATTTCTCATCCACAAATTCAACGCATTCAGGATTCATTTTGTTGTAGATAGTATTCATACTAAAAGATTTTATAGTCCTAGCTTTGGCCATGCTAAAATGTGAGCCATCTGCCCTTCTACTAATCTCAGCACAATTTGATTGAGGAAAAAAAAGCAAAGATATTCATTGAATTTTTATCAATAGAAAAATAATACTTTGAAATGTCCACTAAGAACAGTGTACCTACCAATGGAATACTATATAGCCATTAAAAATGAAGTAAATTAGAGTTGTATGTACAGGTCTGAGATATCTACAATATATTTTGAAAAAACCAATTGCAAAATACGTATAATTCTACTTTTGTTAAAAAAATTAAAAAAAAATCCCAGTTATGTACAGATACTCGCATACTTGCAGAAAAATAGAAACACACACTAAAGTTTAGGAGGTGACTGAGAAGGGAAAAAGGGAGAGATTTACTCTGTATATTTCTTCAGCATTTAAAATAATTTAAATCAAAGTTAGCATAGGCTCACAGTAAAACAGACAAACAAAACCAACTCATATAGTAGAAAGACTATTTAATAAAAAATGTAAAACTTGCCTCCTCTCCCCAAACTGCCATCACCATAAAAAGTCCTCCCACCCAACTATAACCACTGTTAACCTCTGGAGTTTAGCATTTTCTACGTACAAAAATTTTTAATGCCCCAACGTAAGTGATTTCTACTTTTGTGCACTGAACAGGACATCTCATATATTTGAAATGTAGTGTATAAATAATATTTTCCTATTATTCACACACTAGTAAAAAAATAGAAAAAAGTAATGCAGAAAACCAGAGAACTGAATATTAAGTCTGATCATACAGAACTTTGATGATAAAACAATACATCTAACAAAGATCTCTTGAAACGGTTTCATTAAAAAAACCCATTTTCCTTATTGTAAAATATGTTCATAAAAATTTAAAACATTACAGACTACATATTAAATGCACACCATCCACAACTATTTCTAAGAAATATTCATTGTTAATAGTTTATAGTCTCCTACACTGCTTTTCTGCATGTTTATACTGACATATTTTTATATTTTTTATGAATTTTTAAATAAGATTTTTTACATGTTCTTAAAATAACTTAAAAGCATATTAAAATGACACTTTAAAAGATAACACTTCTTAGAAACTAGTCAAAAGTATATGAGTTTATTGATATCACAGCAAAGATGATTCTCTATACAATAACTGCCTAGCCCGGTAATCTGTCTCTGATCCTTACATCCCCATTAACCTAGTATGTATATACTAGTCTTATGCCAATGGATAATAAAGGACCTTGGGGTTCTGGGCCAAAGAGGCCTGAAACGGAATCCATTTTATTGCTTACTAGTTCTTGGCCAAGATACTTAACTTTGCTTTAGGCTTCTTATGGAAAAAGATAGCTAGTATTACCAAACTCACAGAATTGGTGTGATGTGTATGACAGCGCAAGCACAACGTCACACACAGCAATCACTATTATCAACACAGGCAGTGTGTTTTGGTTGACCACATGCTTTAATGTGATATTGAATGAGGATTCTTGGCTGCAGTTTTCTTTTCCCATGAGTGAAACTAATCACTTTGATATAATTAAGGCTGAGACAGAAATTTCAATCCCCACATCTATACTTAATTTACAAAGATATGTAAGGCCTCAAAAATTTGCACAGTCAGTAATTCTACTTGTAGGAATTTATTTGAAGGAATTAAGGGTCAAAAATTTAGTTACAAAGATAGTTACTGCAGCACTGCTTATAAAAAGAAAATATAAACCTGAATGTCCCAATAAGGGATGGATTAAATTAAGGAAATGATTATACAAACACTAAACTAATGGTATAGCAATGTTTTACATAGAGAAAGCTTAATAAACAGAAAATGAAGTATAACCCACCCCTGAAACACATACACAGAGAAAGCCATCTGGAAGTTTTATTTCTGGCTAGAGGGATTATAATTTTTATTTTGATCTTTTAATGTGCCTGCATTTCTACAACGAACGTGTACAATACTATTTGTGTAATAATTTTTTAAAATAAAGCAGTGCTCAAAAAAAACTGAGTTAATTTTTTTCCTCTTCAATTTTTGCATGTTAATTTCCTTCTCCCTCTTCAACTTATGCATAAGATGAGCAAAGAGGCTAATACAAGCACTCCAACTTTACAGAAGGTGAATCTGGAGAATTAGTAGGTTAACTTACTTGCCCTTGTTCCCTTAAATGTAGGCCAAAGCTTAAGCAATTATCATTTTCATTAAACTGTCCTTGTGTTTATACCATGGGATCCTCCCATGTACACATAATTATGTTAAAGAATGAACCAAAGGTGAAAAAGTATGGATGCTGAAACCAACAAATTGAACATTTCCCTCCTCTTTTCCACAGGATCCTTTTATAATGTATTTGAGTCTTGGAAATAGCTGTGTCACATATTACCCTGATGTCAGCAACTGGAATACAGAAAAAAATTTTTGAAAAGCTGGTTTATATGTATTATTAACTACTGTAGCGTATTAGAAAAGATATAGGTTCTCTAATGGTTATAATGTTGTTTTGCAAGATCAGCATTCAATAAATAAATGTCCAGGGATCACGAAGGGCTACGGTTTCACTCAATAATTTAAGTCCCACAAAGTAAACATAGTAAGAACACTGGACTACAGTGAAGAATTAGTTCAATAACAATAAAAGATACACTCCTGAGGTAAATGATAGTACACAGCCATGGAAAGAAGGGCAGAGTTGCTGATGGAAGCTAAGAATATGATCCTTCTACCTTAGGAACTTTCTAGTTTGGATTAGGATCATTAAATCTAGATATTAGTAGTGGCTCTCTTACAAACAAATCAAAAATATCATATTAAAGCTCAGCCACACAGAATTAGCCAATGTGCCTAAGAATAGTAACAAAGAGACTTTTAGAAGACTCAAATGAGCAGCCTAATTTTTAAAGAACTCTCCTTGTATGTCTCGCCAGGTTCTTTAAAGAGTCACAGACTCACTACTAAGATTTCTGAGCCTGGAAATGCACTGTTTTAGAGTTCTGATTTCTGATCTTTTAGGATAAGGCCTTAAGGGGAATGTCCATCCTACCTCTCACTTTTTCTCCATAGGCTAAGTCCCTGAAGCCAAAGACTGCCCCCATTAACCTCTACTCTGCTGCAAGAGCAGAGTGGAATTCCCTGGTCCTTTTCTGGCAGAAGCCCATATCTGTTGAGGCTTAAAACAAAATCTTGTAGAGATGAAGTCATAATAGTTCACAATTACTGCTTCAGCCTCTCATTGTGCATAAAAGCCAGAAAAAGATGTAAAAAGGAGAAGCAAGAGTTCTAACAGTACTATGAAGATTAACTGACCTATGCTCATATTTGAGAATATAAACATACAAAATTCCACAAGAAATATAATGCATACGTCTAGAAAAAGGTGGTATAAAACTTTCTAGAATATTCTTTGAAAGAAACCAAAGCACACACTGCTTCAAGTAAGCTACTTGAACAACTCCTTAACATATGTTAAAACAAAGGAATTCTGGTAATTTAATCATTTAAATGGTTAGCCTAACACTGATCTTGGTTAAAATTAGTCTTATATTTGAAGTATTATGTTTTGGACCACTCCAAATGGTCAAATTAATATGTTTAGTTACCTTTCCATAGAAAGTAAGACAAACTGTTGATTTCCTTATAAAATCACCAGTAACAGGAGCCTATAAGAAGCAGCTAGTTTTTCATATCCCTGTCTTAATTATATTCTCTGCCAACAAACTTCCCAGACCAGGGAAACAATGGAACATGTGGAAACATGTTTCCATGACATAACGCCACTCCTTTTAAGTCTTTCATCAAGTGTTCGTAACAGAATCACTCCACAATCATGTTTATACAAGACAGCTGCTGCGGACTCGCCCACAATTCATTCTGTAGAAACACCCTTTTGACAGGTTCCAACTCCACCACTTTCCATTAATGAACGTACATTACCCATCCAAGAGGCCAACGCCTCCCATTCCTGACTCTCTCGAATTCTCAAGGACACTGGGGTAAAACCCTGCACATCTCAACCCCTTCTCAAAAAAAAAAAAAAAAAAAAGGCTTTCTGGGCCAGATGAACCTGCAACTCATCTGATGTGTGCAGGCTAAGCTTTCACTTCTCACTTTCCAGAGAGAAAGCTGTCACGCAGAGATGGAGAAAGCACAAAGGGCAGAATGAATGAAGAAGTCTTGATTCAGCCAGCCGGGGACGCCCAGCCGCCCGCGGCCGAAGATCCCACGCAAGCCCCACCTGAGGTAAGCAGAGATCTTTCTCCAATGTTCGGTGAGTTGAGGCGGTCCCACACCAGCCCCTTTCCCGAAAACTAAAGCAGGGCCGCTGGGGAACAGAGGCGGGGGGGGGGGGGCGACGACACACACGTGTCGGGGTACAGAAAGGAGAGATGCGCAAAGTATTAGCCGTAAGTCCCTGTCCTCGAAGGGAAAACAGCTGTGCAGAGCGAGGAAGTCCGACTCCCACCTGGGCCGCCACGAGCGGTCTCTCGGGACCGCAGCTGATGGACCGCACCTGTCAAGGGCTCTGCGCGCACCAGAAGAAACCCGCAGGCGGGACCACCGTAAGGGTCGGGGTTACGACCAGACAAGGCACTTACGGGGTACACCTGTCGCTGTACTCGTTGGCGATGGTCTCGATGCCGCCACTCCTCGCTACAGCGATGTAGCAGTTGAGAAAGCCGAGGTCAATGCCAACCACAGACATCCCGCCGCCTGAAGGTCGGGGTGCTGGTGCTGAAGCCTCCTGTGTGGGAACCGCGTCCTCTTCTGGGCTGTTGCTCCTGGGGCTTCGACTCCTACGGGAAGCAAAGGAGAGATGACCCGAAGTCGCCAGACATTAAATCTAGGGCAGAACGTCAGGGAATTGCGGGGGAGGTACAGGCCATCCGCGCCGCAGCCTCCGCCGCCTCGGTCTCTCTTCACTGCGGTTCGGCCGCCTCCAACCGGCAGTTACTGGGGTCTGCGCCTGCGCGCTCCGCCGCCGGAGAGGCGCGCGAGCCACGGCTCCGCGCCCGAGGCTGCCCCCGGCCTCGACTTCGGCCGCTTCCGTCAGCGCTCGGGCAACGGCTGCCCGAGATGCTGCGGGTTGGAGAAAGATCTGGAAAATGGAGGCAGCTGAGCCAGCCGGGGATGGGAGGGAGGGGAAGGCGGAGCGGGGGCGGGGGGAGATCAGGGAGGAAAGGAGGAGGGGAAGCGGGGCTGGCTCGCTCGCCATCGCGCGGCAGCTGGGCGCACTGCGGCTGGGCGAGGGGAGAGGAAGCCGCCCGGCCCGGCAGTTGACTAACGTATTTGGAAGCAACCCTTTGGGTTGTTTTTGGCAACTAGGGGCATGCCTGGCACAGCGGCAGCATACGCCGAGGCCTGCAGGCGTGCGCCTGCCGCCGCAGCCGCGCCTTTTCGCTTCCAGGGGCCGCCCGCAGCCCGCGCACCCACCCGTCGGCCTCGCCGCCCCGAGGGGCCCATGTGCCGCCGGCCGACACGCTCGCCGTCTGCCCGCGGGGTCCTGCCGCCCTCACGCCCACCGCGCCCGGCTCTGTGAGGTGGCGCCCATTGTGCGGCGCGGCTGCGGCCTCGCCTCGCCCCAGTGGGCAACGCTGATCCCAGGGGAAGGAGTCCTTTTCGCTTTATAAGCTACAATGTCTTGTGTGAAAACGACTCAACAAATTTTAGTGATTTTTTTCCTCTTATCAGGGCTTAAAATACCAAAAACCAAACTTTTGTCAAGAAACAAGAGCACACTGACAACTTCCCCTTCATGTAGCTTCCTTCACACCATTCACACGTTCACACATGCAGTCTCCTCCACCAACCCTTCCCTCCGAAAACCAGTTTTACCGGAAAGTGACCTTACATATGTGTGTGAGTCACTGTGATACCAGGCAAGCCTGGGCATCGCCTCCAGCCTCCGCCCTTCCGTCCGCAAAAAGGTGCCCACTGTGGTCCAGCCTTCTGCCTGCTTCATTTGATCAGCCTCTGTCGTCTGTCTGTCTGAAACTGAACCAAGTTATAGTTTACACTTACGAAGTTTGGCTGTCCGGTTCCTTCCCGTTCAGTTCTTCACGAGTTTCCTGTTCCTTCTCGCCCAATTCTTCGTATGTTTCCTCTTCCTTCTTGCTCAATTCCTCGTGTGTTTCCTGTTCCTTCTCGCCCAACTCTTCGTATGTTTCCTCTTCCTTCTTGCTCAACTCCTCCTGTGTTTCCTGTTCCTTCTCGCCCAGTTCCTCGTGTGTTTCTTGTTCCTTCTCACCCAATTCTTTGTGTGTTTCCTCTTCCTCCTCACCCAATTCTTCGTTTGCTTCCTGTTTATTTGTTTCTATCTTGAAAGAGACTTTTTTACCAACTTTTTTAGCAGCAGCATCCTTAGTTGTCCAGTCCTTAAAAGCACTTAGACTTTTTACTACCATCAGTGCTGCAACAGCAGTAGCAGCAAGAATGGTTATAGCTCCTGCTGCTGTTGCTATAAGGAATATGAAATCCATTTTCAAAGGCAATACTGAGGAAACTGGATTGTACAGTATTGTTTTCACTTTAGTCTTTCTACATTGAAGAATCGCACCTCTCTTCCATTTCACAAGCACATGGGAAGAGTGGTGGCTCCCCGTCGACGCCGTTCTCTCCAATGTGGCAGGACTCGGAGGAGGGGCCTCCCAGCAGGCGTTGCGTGAGCCGCGCAGGGATTGGGTCCCGCACCCCCCAACAGAATCCTGGGCCCCCAGAGCAAGCTGCGCAGCTCATGGCTCCTCCATTTTCTCCTCAGTTGACTCTTCAGCCATCGTCCTTTTACGCCTACCACCATCTAGATTTATTCCAGAATATCCTGAAACTCTCCTACGACCATTTATTTATCCATGCTGTCTGTAAAACTTGAGGGTGTGAGAATGATTTTTCTATTAAAAAAACAAAATATCAAAGTAAAAAGAAAAAATTGAGGTTAGGAGCAAGGGATTGTTATCACATTCTTTACAATTACTGGGAGGAAATAACAGTACCTAGTGGCTAAAAGCATGACAGGCTTTCGGGTCACACAGACTTGAGTTGTAGTCCCAGGCTTGCCTAACTGACTAGCAGTAGGCCCTTTGGCAAGTTACTTAACTCTCCAAGTCCCAGGTTCAAAATTTGTTAAAATGAAGACAAATATACCTATTAGGCTGTTTTTATGATTAAATACTGTAAGCATAGCAACAGTGCCTGGGACCAAAAAGGCCAATAAATGGTAGTTGTGCCTAGCTGCTGTTAGGATATAGGAATTATATTGATTTATCTATATTGATCCATATATCCAACAATCCTGCTATACTCTCATAAAAATTCTAGTATTTGCAGAGTTTCTTGGATTTTCTGTGTATAGAACCACATGGCCTGGGAAATAACAAATTTTTTTCATTTTTAATCCTTCTACTTCTTGTTTTTTCTTAATTATGTCACCTAAGCTCTCCAGTACAATGTTGAATACAAGTAGTAGTGAGCATCCTTGTCTTGTGCCTAACATCAAAGAAAATAATTCTGTGTTTATGATGTAAGAAAGTTAAAATTATCCTATTTTCCTAGTTTGCTAAGAGTTTTTCTCATAAGTGGATACTGAAACTTAACAAATGTTATTCATCATCTATTGAAATAATCTTTTTTCTCCCTTAATCTGTTAATGTGGTGAATAATATTAATAGATTTTCTAATATCCTTGCATTCCTAGGATAAACCAGCTAGGCCATGATGGTTCTGATTGTTTTTAGATACATTGGATTTGGCTCGTGATTATTTTGTTTAGAATGTTTGCATCTATAGTTTTAAGTAAGATTTAATTTTCTTTTCTTTACTTGTCTTGTTGCTATCAAGATTTAAGCCTCATAAAAGAAGTTGAAGAGGTTTCCTCTCTTTTTTCTTTTCTCTGGCAAAGTTTTGATAAGACAAGCCTGTAAACCATCTTTGCCTGGAGCTTGTGAGTAGATTCATGACCAGTGGTTAAGTATCTTTAGTGGGTATAGTCTATGTTTTCTATTATTTCAATCAACATTGATTATATTTTTATTGAAAATTTACCATTTCATGTTTTCACGTTTGTTGGCATAAAGTTGATTATTCATTTATGATTTTTAAAAATCTCTTCTGTAGCTATATGTTCATTTTTTCATTCTTTTTTTTTTTCTGCCTCTATCACTTTATTTTTATTTTTATTTTTTTTTTAAATTTTTTGTTTATTGCAGTAACATTGGTTTATAACATTGTAAAAATTTCAGGTGTACATCATTGTACTTCTATTTCTGCATAGATTACATCATGTTCA